CAACAAATATTGATAAATGGGATTTGATGAAACTAAAAAGCTTCCACACAGCTAAGGACATAATCAACAGAGGAAATAGACAATCTACAGAATGGGAGAAAATATCCACAAGCTACACATCTGATAAAGGGCTAAGAACCATAATTTACAAGGAACTCAAACAGATCAGCAAGGAAAAAACAAACAACCTATTAAAAAGTGGGCAAAAGACATGAACAGAAGCTTTTCAAAAGAAGAAAGACAAATGGCCAATAAACATGAAAAAATGCTCAACATCACTAATCATCAGGGAAATGAAAATTAAAACCACAATGAGATATTACCTTACCCCAGTTGGAATGGCATTTATTAAAAAGTCCAAAAACAATAGATGCTGGTATGGATGCAGAGAGAAAGGAACACTTATACACTTTGGTGGGACTGTAAATAAGTATACCCTCTACAGAAAATAGTATGGAGATTCCTCAAAGAACTAAAAGTAGACCTGCCATTCAATCCAGCAATCCCACTACTGGGTATTTATCCAGAGGAAAATAAGTCATTTTATCAAAAAGATATCTTCACTGGAAAGTTTGCAGCACAATTCACAATTGCAAAGATGTGGAATCAACCCAAGTGCCCATCAATTCATGAGTGGATTAATAAAATGGGTATATGTATACCATGGAATACTACTTCATAAGAAAGATGAATTAATGCCTTTTAAAATAATCTGAATGGAACTGTGGAGACCATTCTCCTAAGTGAAGTATCTCCAGAATGGAAAAATACCACTTGTAATCACTATTAAACTGGAACCAACCAATGAGCACACATGTGCACATAGGGTAGTAAAACTCAGTGGAAAGCAATGGAGGTAGGAAGAGGACTTGAATAAACCAACCTAATGGGTACTATGAACGCTATTTGGGTGACAGGCACACCTATAGCCAGAACTCAAGCATTACAAACATGATCCATGTAACCTAAAATATCTGTACCCCCTTAATATTTTGAAATAAATAAAAATAAGAGAAAGGCATAGTCAGGGTTTCCATGATGGCTGCTTATTCTATTCCTGAAAGTCCTCAAGAAAGAAGACAACACTTCTGCCCTCTAACTTCACCTAATGAAAATCAGGTTCTTTATAATGTACATGTCCCCTGCTTTGTGTGCATGTTCCCAGTATAAATAATCCAGCCAGAATTTCAGAAAAATAAAGCTAGTAAATCTTCACTTTTATGCTGCCAAATATTCTGCTAAAATCCTTATCTTAACATCTACTGTCTGGTCTTTTTAATTTGTTTGATGGTTTGTTTCACATCAGATGGGTAAGGTGCCAGACAATACTAACAAGGTTTGAGGGAGGCACCACTCACACATGTGCATGAACACCCAATCATCATGCTTTGAGCTACGTAGAAAAGGATCCTTTCTGTTCTTACCTGAACTTTCCCCATGGGTCTCAAGGAGGATAGAGAATGTATTATGTTAAAAAGGACAGAGTTATTGTGGGTGAGCCTTATTCCCCTACAGAACTTTTGGTCCTCCACTGAGCTAACCACAGTCTTATTCTGTTTCCCCTTAATCCACAGGCAGATGCTGGGAACAAGACAACCAATGGTATAATATTGCCCTGAGAATAATGAATAGCTCAGGGTTTCAAGTGTCTGAGTTCATCCTGATGGGGCTCCCAGGCATTCATGAGTGGCAGCACTGGCTCTCCCTGCCACTGGCTCTGCTCTACCTTTTAGCTCTGGGTGCCAACATCCTCATCATGGTCACCATTCAACGTGAGCCCATGTTACATGAGCCCATGTTCCATTTTCTTGCTGTATTGGCAGTGGTAGACATTGGCCTGGCCACCACCATCATGCAGGCAAAAAAAAAAAAAAAAAAATTTAAAGTCTTAAGAAAGTGAATATTGGTCAAAATTTGAGTTAAGAATGATATTCTGTAATTTTTTCTTGTTTGTATAGTGGAATGTTTTGAGAATTTTATGAAAGCTAAAATGATCCTCTCCCCAGAAAAATGTGAATATAGGTAAAATGTTTCCATATAAATTTAGGAAGTTTACAGACTTCCATGAGATTGTCTATAAATTCCTGGTTAAAGAGTACTATTTTAGTCAGGCATGGTGCTTCCCAATGTGCTATCATCCTTGAGGTCAGGAGCTTGAGACCAGCCTGAGCAACATGGTGACACCCCATCTACATTAGCTGGGCCTGATGGCACACACCTTTGTCTCAGTTACTAGGGAGCCTGAGGCAGAAGGATCACTTGACTCCAGGAGTTTGAAGATGAAGTGAGCTATGATGATGCCAATGCACTCTAGCTCAGGTAACAGAACAAGATCTTGTCTCAGGAAGAAAAAAAAAAAGTCCAATATTAATCTTAAAAGATAGAAGAAACATAAAAAGAAAATAGTATAAACATGAGTTTTAAATATATATTTGCAACACAAACCAAACAAAGTTGGGAAAAAATGTTATAAAACCATATAACATTTAGTAGGCATTCAAATTATGTTTATAAAGGTTTTAAATGTTATAAAAAGTTTCCCAGTGTTAAGGAGAGGCACAAGATGAAAAATCCTATTTACATGAAACATCAACTGTGTAAAAAGATGACAAAGAAACATGCTGAAATTAAATATTTAAAAATGTTAAACCTTTGGTTGCTGGGATTTTAATTTTTCATTTTCTAAAAGAGTTATGGTTTTATTTTTCTTATTTTTTGTCAATTTCATGGATATATATGTTTATTAAAATTAATAGATGTCATAGTCATTCATTCTTCTCAGTGGTGGTGAGGGATAGTCTTGATGCTACATTTAGTGCCGTGAAAGGAAGTAAAGGCAGAGATTTGGAAAAGGCAACATTGATATCTAAATATTAGAGAAGGCAAGGTATTATTCATGGATAAAGGTAATAAAAAGAATTCTCAGATATTCAAGGATTCCCAAAGCATAATGCCCAAGTACACTTTTTGATATAATTACTTGAAAATATTTTCCAACCATTTAAGAATGAACAAAATCAAGAATGGAGAGAAGTGCTAAAAGATGAAGAATGAGCCATGAAATGATTTAAATAAAAGTAACTAAATGTGTGCAATAAATGCCTGCTGAATTTCCAAACTATTCCATAGAAAAATCTAGAAGTGTTTGGAAGTTTGTTGGTTATTTTTCCTCCTTACATTTTTTATTAATAAAATTGATCATTTAAAAATATAGTTGTAAGTATGTCTTCAACATTACTTTCATAAAAGAGGAAATAAATGAGATTCCTAGAGGGTATTGAACTATTGGCTACTATTTGATGGAGGGAATGCTGGAAGTAAATGCTAAAAATTAAAACTTTTGCTATAGTTTAGTCACTTATTGGTGTTTTCAATATATGATTCTTATGTAGGCAACTCATTCAACCTGTTTCCTCACATATGAATCGCAACACCTGCATGGTGAAGATTAAATGAGATGGTTTGTGTCAGAAATTATTTGCCAGCCAAAAGCTCTGTTTAAAAGAAAGTCATGTCAAAGATCAGTTGTTTGTAGGTAGATGGTTTTGTATCTGGGTTCTCTGTTCTGCTCCATTGGTCTATACTCTATTTTTGTATCAATACCATTAGCAGACCACAATATACACTGGGGAAAAGAAACCCTATTCAATAAATGGTGCTGGGAAAATTGGATAGACACATGCAGAAGAATGAAAATGGACCCCTAACTCTCACCACTGACAAAAATTAATTCAAGATGGATAAAGGACTTAGATTTAAGGCATGAAACCATAGAAATTCTAGAGGAAAATGTAGGAAAAACTCTTCTAGATACCAGCCTAGGCAAAGAATTTATGAGAAAGACACCAATGGCAATCATGGCAATAGCTAAAATTAATAAACGGAATTGGATAGAACTAAAAAGCTTCCACAGACCTAAGGACATAATCAACAGAGGAAATAGACAAGAATGGGAGAAAATATTCATAAGCTACACATCTGATAAAGGGCTAACAACCATAATTTACAAATAACTCAAGCAGATCAGCAAGAAAAAAACAAACAACCTATTAAAAAGTGGGCAAAAGACATGAATAGAAGCTTCTCAAAAGAAGATAGACAAATGGCCAATAAACATGAAAAAATGCTCAACATCACTAATCATCAGGGAAATGCAAATTAAAGCCACAATGAGATATCACCTTACCTCAGTTGGAATGGCATTTATTAAAAAGTCCAAAAACAATAGATGCTGATATGGATACAGAGAGAGAGAGGAATGCTTCTACACTTTTAGTGGGGCTGCAAATGAGTACACCCTCTACAGAAAACAGTATGGAGATTCCTCAAAGAACTAAGAGTAGACCTACTATTTGATCCAGCAATCCCACTACTGGGTATTTATCCAAAGGAAAATAAGTCATTTTATAAAAAAAGACATCAGCACTCGAATGTTTATTGCAGAACAGTTTACAATTGCAAAGATGTGGAATCAACTCAAGTATGCATCAATTCATGAGCAGATTAATAAAATGTGGTATATGTATACCATGTAATACTACTTAGCCATAAACAAGACAAATAAATACCTTTTGAAATAATCTGAATGGAACTGGAGACCATTCTCCTAAGTGAAGTAACTCCAGAATGAGTACTCACTATTAAATTGGAACCACCAATGAGCACACATGTGCACAGAGGGTAGTGAAACTCAGTGGAAAGCAATAGAGGTGGGGAGCGTAGCTTAATAAACCAATTGAATGGGTACTATGAACACTATTTAGGTGACAGGCACACCTATAGCCAGGACTCAAGCATTAAAAAAATGATCCATATAATCTATAACATATGTACCACCTGAATATTTTGAAATAAATAAAAGTAAGGCATAGTCAGGGTTTCCATGATGGCTGCTTATTCTCTTCCTGAAAGTCCTCAAGAAAGAAGACAACACCTCTGCCCTCTAACTTCACCTAATGAAAATCAGGTTCTTTATAACGTACATCTCCTTTTTTGCCTGCATGTTCCCCATGTAAATAACACATCCACAATTTCAGAAAAATAAAGCTAGTAAATCTTCACTTTTATACTACCAAATATTCAACTAAAATCCTTATCTTAACATCTACTTTGGCTGTCTGTTCTTTTTTATTTGTTTGATGGTTTGTTTCACATCAGATGGGTAAGGAGCCAGACAATACTAACAAGGTTTGAGGGAGGCACCTCTCACACATGTGCATGAACACCCAATCATCATGCTTTGAGCTACGTAGAAAAGGATCCTTTCTGTTCTTACCTGAACTTTCCCCATGGGTCTCAAGGAGATAGACAATGTATTATGTTAAAAATGACAGAGTTATTGTGGGTGAGCCTTATTCTCCTACAGAACTTTTGGTCCTCCGCTGAGCTAACCACAGTCTTATTCTGTTTCCCCTTAATCCACAGGCAGATGCTAGAAACAAGACAACCAATGGTATGGTATTGCCCTGAGAATAATGAATCATTCAGGGTTTCAAGTGTCTGAGTTCATCCTGATGGGGCTCCCAGGCATTCATGAGTGGCAGCACTGGCTCTCCCTGCCACTGGCTCTGCTCTACCTCTTAGCTCTGGGTGCCAACATCCTCATCATGGTCACCATTCAACGTGAGCCCATGTTACATGAGCCCATGTTCCATTTTCTGGCTGTATTGGCAGTGGTGGACATTGGCCTGGCCACCACCATCATGCCCAAGACCCTGGCCATCTTCTGGTTTGACGCCAAGGCCATCAGCCTCCCTGAGTGTTTTGCTCAGATCTATGCCATCCACAGCTTCTTCTGCATGGAGTCCGGCATCTTCCTCTGCATGGCAGTGGACAGATACATAGCCATCTGTCACCCCCTCCAATATCCTTCCATAGTCACTGAAGCTTTTGTGCTCAAAGCCACAGGACTCATGATGCTCAGGAATGGCCTGTTGACCATCCCAGTGCCTATACTGGCTGCACAGAGAAACTACTGCTCCAGGAAGGAAATTGACCACTGCCTCTGCTCTAACTTGGGGGTTGTCAGTCTAGCTTGTGATGATATCACCGTGAACAAATTTTACCAACTGATGCTAGCATGGATCCTGGTTGGGAGTGATATGGTTCTGGTATTTTCTTCCTATGCTCTAATCCTTCACTCTGTGCTGAAGCTGAAATCAGCAGAAGCAACGTCCAAGGCTCTGAGCACCTGTAGCTCCCACCTCATCCTCATCCTCTTCTTCTACACAGGTATCATTGTGCTGTCTGTCACACACCTTGCAAAGAAAAATATTCCCCTCATCCCCATACTCCTTAATGTACTGCACAATGTCATCCCCCCTGCGCTCAACCCCATGGTCTATGCACTCAGGATGCACGACCTCAGACTAGGCTTTCAGAGACTGCTTGCGCTGGGTGAAAAAGTGTCCAAGTGACTCCAGCTTTAGGAAACCATTAAGTGTTAGGAAATCACAGAGGTTTTAGCTCTCAATAGACTTGGGTTGTAATTTGTAATCTCACTAGGGAAAAAAATGGCCAATAAAATCATGAAAACTGTCAGCCACATGAATCAAAATATGCATATTAAAATTACAAGCACATTTCCTACTAGAAAATAAGAATAGAGAAGTGAAATGTCCCTAACTCTTGATGCCACCCCAAGACTGACACTCTTATACACAGCTGGGGGAACTGTAAATTTGCCCAAATATACCAAGAAGCAATTTGGCAAAATTTATTAAAATGTTTGTAAATGTCTAGATTCTCTTACTCAGTAATCATGTTTTAAAAAAACTAAAAGATATAGTGTAAATGTAACCAAAAAAATTATTCATAAAATAATTTATTACATTACTAATAGAAAATATCCTTTAAAAATAATGTTTACATGAATTTACTTTAATTCTCACACATTTATCTGCTTTCCATATGTAATTTTAATAATAAGGAAAAGAAAACTATAAATGTTTATTTAAAAGGGGCAGATATTTTGCTTAAGTAAGTCACCAGTAATTCTGTGACAATCAAAAGAAGTAATAAGAAAATATGCTTTGAAATATGACAGACATAAAGAAAAATAGACCTAACTATGTGGCAAAGTTTTCTTGCTAGGAAAGGAAGAAAACGCACCCTAGGAAATGCCTTAGAAAAATATTTTCAAATAAACGATTAATTAAATCAACTGAATTTTTGCTGTTTTCTCACCTAACAAAAGTACACACTTTTGAGTACAAGAAACATTGATTTTGTGCCTTCTCTGAGCCTAATATGGAACTTTGCACACAGTAGATGCTTTATAAATGCTTTATTCATGGTGCAGTCACTCAGGGACATCACATGGTCTGTTTAATCCTGTGTATCAAAGAAAATACTGACCCCAGGAAGTCTGTATATGAGCCCACCTTAGAGAACAATCTCTTAGAAGATAGCACCAAGATTGAAGCAACATCAGAAACCAGGAGCTCATCCCACCAGGTTAGTGGTTGGTGGGCAGCACAGCAGAGCTCAGGAAGTCAATCCAGGTTGTGGCATCAGCCTTCCTAAGAATTATAAGAATTTACCGAAGGCCTGGAGCAGTGGCTCAAGCCTATAATCCCAGCCCTCTGGGAGGCTGAGGCAGGAGGATCACTCAAGGTCAGGAGTTTGAAACCAGCCTGAGCAAGAGTGAGACCCTGTCTCTACTAAAAACAGGAAGAAATTAGCTGGACAACTAAAAATATATAGAAAAAATTAGCCGGGCATAGTGGCACATGCCTGTAGTCCCAGCTACTCGGGAGGCTGAGGCAGAAGGATCCCTTGAGCCCAGAAGTTTGAGGTTGCTGTGAGCTAGGCTGATGCCATGGGCACTCCAGCCCAGGCAACAGAGTTTTCCCACAAAGAGACTATAAACTTCCTCTAAAGGGAGTGGTTGCTTCATCCTTCCTTGCCTGTGGCCACTCATTCAGATTGAAGCAATCATCCAATAAGAAGAGATAGGAGAGAGACGATCACAGCAAGGGCTTTAATTTAACCCAACTTCCCACTGTTTCTACCCTGAAGGATCAGGGTAATAACAGCATCTAATCCTGCAGAGTTCTTTGCAGTTTCCAAAATACTTTCTCACAATGGATCGACTAATTTCACGTGATATTCATAACAGCTGTCTTAGGTATGAAGCTGGTAAATAATTATTATTACTATCAATCCTTTCTACAAAGAAATAGAGGTTAAATTTGGATGATTATATAAATCCATCCACTGATAAGTGGCAGTACCGAAGATCAGGTAGTTTAGATGACTCGTAGATGGCAATGATGAACCATCCTCACTCAAAGCTGCCTTCAAACTTTCATTCATATGTGTATTTGTTTTTTCATTTATTTACTCACTCCAAAATATATAGCATGAGTTTGTGTAGCAGCCCAGGTTGTAGGCCATTCTCAACAACTTCTATAGAGATGTGTCTCTCAGTTCTTTTGAAAATAAATGAACATCTAACATTCATCTTGGAGTCTCAGCAAATTCTGACACAACAGAAAGATTTGTGCAGTTAATTATTTTCTTCTCTCTATGTGCATGAGAATAAAAAAGGATTGTGCATTCTGTTTTATTTTTGTGGACTATTCCTCTTTGTCATGTGTGTTATATTTGCCTGTTACATTTGCCCATATGTTTTGCTTTGTATGGTTTTATACATACAGTCATACTACTTTGTTATTTGCCTATTTGTGTTTTTGTCTTTTCCCATTCATATTTCCATATTCCTTTGACATTTTAACTTCAGCTTATCTTTTTGAAACAGCAGTAGATGGGTCTTTTTTATTTTTCTTTTTGCATTTCCCACTTCACTGAAGGGGTCATTACTTTGTAAACAAATCTGAGGAACTTACTCTTTAAAGAGGGGCATCAAGTCCATCCACATTTATCATAATTTTTTCCCCTGTCATCATATTTATTTTGTTATGTTTTCTGGTGGTTTTTTCCCTACTCCTAACTTTTGCTGAATTGATCTCTTTTACAGATCTCCCCATTCATTGACTTAAAAGTTTTATTAAATATATCTAATTTATCTAACCCTATTTGACAGGTTGTTATATTCATAATTTTATGAACACTTTCAAACTTATACTTCTTTATTTTTTATTTCAGCATATTTATTACAGGGGTACAAATATTTAGGTTGCTTTTGCCTTTGCCCCACCCGAGTCAGAGCTTCAAACGTGTCCATCCCCCAGGCGGTGCATACCGCACCCATGAGGTGTAAATGTACCCATCCCTCCTCCCCCCGACACCTGCCTGACATCTGATGAATGTTATAATCCTGGATAGAGCTTCAGCCCATTCTACTAAGTGAAGTATCACAAGAATGGAACACCAAGCACCACATGTATACTTCTTTATTAATATGCTCAAATTATATAATAGTTATATAGCATTTTCTCCTTCCAATTCCAAGCTCAAGATAAGAACTTTAGCATTTTTATGTTCCTTTTATTCTCCATTGAACATCTTCCTGGGCATGGTGTATTCCAAAGATAACCATAGTAATATTTCCCATCTCATATGCTCTTTTGCAATGTAGCATTAACAACTCCCTATCAAGAGATTGAATCTAATTTCCTCCCACTTGAATATGAGCCTTAGTGATTCACTAAGAATGTGTCAAAAGCCCAGTCCAGAAAAGGCCCTTCAGAATCTACCTGTGTCTCTTGGAATATTTGCTCCCTGGATACTCCCAGGATGCTCCCTGTCAGTATCCAGCTGGCGTGCAGTAAGAAGTACAAGCCACAAGGCAAGACCATGTATGGGTACTATAGTCAACAGCCCAGCTGAGCCCAGCCTTGGAATCATGCCTGCCCAGGAAGCTAGACGTATGAGTGAAGAAAACATCAGCTGATTCTAGCACATAGAAATTTGACCACCCCCAGAGATGTTTGTTGAGTCTTCTGAGCTGAGACTGCAAATATTGTGGAGTAGAAGTAAGCCATCCCACTGCATGCACTCATCTTGAATTCCTGACACACAGACTCTGTGAGCATGATAAAAATAGGTGTTGTTTGATGTCACTATGTTTAGGGTAGTTTGTTTGAAAGCATAGATAACTAGAAGACTTGATTTTAGTGAAATAATTTAGGGTTTTAGTTCTGAGCCATTATTAATTTTTTAAAGCAGTCACTTCTATTTCAAAAATATCTTAGCGCTTTTAGTACTCACAACTACAGTATCAAAATTCATTTCTATTTGACTGTGAAGCTTTACTAAATTAACTATTTATAGCAATTTCTAGTATGCTTCATTCCTCCAATATATTATTTTGGGGTCTAATCAGGAGAGAGAAATCACATGATAATTTAAACAGGGAAAAGTTAATATAAATAATTATTAACTGTAATAAGGGATTGTAGTATTAAGGGATTGACTAGTACATAGAGAAAACTCTAAAGAATATAAAAATAGTAGATGTAAGGAAGAGCCACTGCCACTAGAGATGAGATAGATTACCTAGGAAAGAGGCTCCCTGGGCTGATTTCCAGGCCTTACTGGAGAAGGCACAGAATGGATAGAAAATGCTATCATGCTGTGCCGATGGAGCTTGTTAGAAATCCACATTGTAGGGTGTTCACCAGAGACTCTCTTCCTCAAAAGCACCCGCGGGAGATTACTGGGGGAAGCTGCTGGCCACCGGATGCTTCTGGCTGCCACGTACTGCAGGAGCGGGCACTGAAGAAGCTGTGCCTTCTACAGCTAAGCATGACAGGCAAGCATATCAGGGCCAGGAAGTAAAACCCTCTTCCAGGCTTTCAATAGTGAAAATAGTGAATTAAGAAACTCCAAGGGCAAACAAAAAGCAAATAAACTGGCACAAATTGTCATCATCAACTTTGTTAGAATTAGTCAAAAGTTTACAGCAACAAGGTGAACACTTGAACTTTGTGGCATTCTAACTCACACTGGCCCCCAGTCAGTGGCAGTCTGGAAAATAGCAGCTCATGTTTTCTGGATGGGTTTATGGGGCAAGGAGGAGTAGAGCAGACTTTGTTCTTAAGGAATTGTAGTTATTTTGACCCATCTGGTGGCTCACTAAAGGGCAGGTTGCCTTTATTTCACCTACCTTGGAATTCCCTTAGAGTGGCAGCTACCTAGGAATCTTTGTCAAAAATATTTTTTAAAAAGCTGTATTAATCTCTGCCATCTGAAACCAAAAAAAATTTAAAAGTGACAGCTGGAGAAATAGACACACTGAAAAGCTTGGGAGGAAAGACTGGGGAACAAGGGCTTTGAAAAGCTCCTACAGGCCAGGCGTGGTGGCTCACATCTGTAATCCTAGCATTCTGGGAGGCCAAGGCGGGAGGATCACTCAAGGTCAGGAGTTTGAAACCAGCCTGAGTAAGAGCGAGACCCCGTCTCTACCAAAAATAGAAAGAAATTAATTGGCCAACTAAAAATATAGAAAAATTTAGCCAGGCATGGTGGCGCATGCCTGTAGTCCCAGCTACTCGGGAGGCTGAGGCAGAAGGATCCTTGAGCCCAGGAGTTTGAAGTTGCTGTGAGCTAGGCTGGTGCCACGGCACTGTAGCCCAGGCAACAGAGTGAGACTCCTCCATCTCAAAAAAAAAAAAAGAAAAGAAAAGCTCCTACATGTATCTGGGAATCTAGACAACCACAAGCATGCCCAGGGTGAGTGCTCCTCAAAAAACACCTTCCATCCTCACCCCTAGCTCACCATCAGGCTCCGTACAGGTACGATATGAAGATTAAGGCAGAGTTGTAAACT